CACACAGACTGTGAGTCTTTGTTCGTTCTGAACTCTTATAATCTCTCTCTTAGCCTGAGCATTGCACTGAATAGTGTGGTCGAATACCTGATGTTTTTTGTTTTTGTTTTTATGGTTTCAATGTTGGGGATACAGTGGACATGCGGTCAATCACTCAGTGTAAACTCGGTACACACCGTGGTGCGCTGGTGCGAATGAACGACCCAGACGTTACGTTGTACACGCAACGTGCTGCTGTGGGCCCACGTTGGTGCACCATTACATCTCAATCGTTTTAAAAGCGGATCAAAAAGCCGATCAGTTCACTTATATCTATGCGGTTATACCGTCTTTGGTGGTCAGTTCATCAATCCCTTTTCCGATGATCGGAATGAGTGTATTTCAATGTAAATTTCGATCCGAGTTACGCTTGTGTATCACACCACATACCCAACTGCACACTTTTAACTGCTATGATAAATGTTGATTACAAGGCTAGATAGCCTAGTGGTTAGGAGCATCTGTCAAGAACGTACACCCTACCGACTTCCACTCCCCTCTCTCTCACTATCACTATCGGAAGAGTCTACACAAACCTGGAACCGATCACAGAGTCTAGTGTTGGAGGCAACCGAAAGAGACAAGATTTCGACGCGGAAGTGACTCGCTTGGCGGTGCAATATTTACTGGTTTTTCTAACCTCAATCCTCCACCAAGACTGCACCTTATCCACCGAAATGCTTCTTTTTGGACCACCGATTAAGGACCAGTGCTAGTCTTCACCAGCCGGCTAAGCTGGATAAATTGCACCGCTTGCATTGACTCGGTCGCATCAGTTACTCGGTCATTTCGACTTGATTTGATTGTTGATGTCATCAACATCATACTGACTTGAGGGGTGCGTGGTGTAGTGTTTTAGATGTTTTGCCTATGACCTCGAAGTCTCGGGTTCAAGTCCCCACTTCTGCACTGGTTTGGGTACTCTTGCACATCTCAGTCCGCTTGCGACCCCTTGCACTGCATCGCGCTGATGTACCGCTGTTGAGTCAAGTTGTCCCTTTCAGTCTCTCTGAGTGAGCACCTCGCCGTTGGCAACCTGTATTGATAGGGACTCAGAACGTGTCCATCCCAGCCGTGGAGTCGGTAACCTACCAATTGTTCACTTAACTCCGGCGTTCTCCACTTCCAGCTCAACATACTGCTTGTTGTTGTTTCATTTTTTCTCTTCGTTGCTTTATCTCATCGCTCCGATACCAGTGACGGCAACTAGACCCCTACCTTTCATTACTTGGATGATAGCTGTTCTACTCCACCGGTATTTTTCTAGGGTTTTTGCTATGCTTATGAATTTGGATTTAGACACACAGCCTCACTTCGGACCTTAAGTCAAAAACTATACATGCCTAATTTTCCTGTCGTGATCTAGCTGGTCTCCTAACTCTCCACTACCGTGCAGGAAACAGGTTTGTTTCCCAGGAGCACTACTTCCTTCACCAGTGGATAGTCAAGGTATTCAGGCATTTGGCTGGTCGCCAGTCCAAGTATACGAAGGTTCGGATGTCTTCAAACTTTATCTGACCCGTAAGAGACTGTTGGTAGTCGCGTGGGAGCGTAGCTTCGATCCCAAGTGCCGCTGTACCATACCGAAGCCGTTGTTCTTTTCCTTCCGCGCCAAAATGTCAAAACTTTGAGCTTCTATATCTTTCTTATGTTTCCTACGTAAATAAATCCCTCCCTCATTACCACCAAAGCACTATTAACAAGCTGCAAGCCGCACGGTCTTTGGTTCGAATCTCAAGAAATTTAAGGAGTTGCTTGCTACCGGTGGCGAACCACTCAGCTGTTCTCTTGATGTGTGATGGCCGCGTGTACTAGGCCGAATGTGTCGAACCTCATCGCATTTCTACAACCCTCCTTTACCTTCTCGAACACTAATGCCTATTTTGATATATAGCATCAGCAATCCCAAGGGGACGATCACTTATGCTGTTTCGCTGAATCCTGAGTTGCCCGAGCTCCTGTGTAGATTTTGAGGACTAACTCTGCGTTTTATCACACTACTCCCCTAACTCCTTACCCTTCATCCGACCGGGTATATGAGTGACGAATTGGTAATCTCATGTTGTCTATGTCATCGCATTGTATCGACGTTATATCTAGCTTGATAGCAAACAAATTGCTATTACCAACACACTCAGAAGGAATTGTGTGTGAGAGGGGACTGATGGCTCCATCGTTACACGCTACCCACACGCCCCATCACGATACGGCATTGGTAACACCAGCAGTTCGATTGCCCTCTATTCGTCCTGACCCAAAACACGCTGGCTGACAAACTTGGTTTGTTACTTGGCTTGTTGAACCGAATCAGTACTTGCGGCACAATAGCAGAGGTGTTTTCCCACCTCTAGCTGATGTGTATAATAATGATGATGATGACTGCAATTTTCATTGTGTGGAGGCACTTTTTCACCGTCTTCCTCGCGTTTGTGTACGGAGGCCAGTTGTATACCAAGTAACGTTTTGCGAACCTTTTGGTGCGCATTAATCTCCTTAGCCGGTGCATCTGCACTCTGATTCAATAACGTTGCGCAACACAAGTTTACCTCGTGCGACCTAGTGGCCTGAGATGCCGCTTCGTTTCGACTGAAAAACTTGGTATTCTTTCGTCACTTCTTTTAGTCCAGACTAACCGGATTGGCGTCTGTGACTGTCAAAATTTGCATGACTGCAGACTGCGGTGCTTACGCCCAATAATCCTCAGCAACTTAGCTATTCGAATACCTGCATCATTGACTTTTTTGGTTGCTGTCTTCATGGACATGGGGATGTTATGGGGAATCCCAGTCTCCTGTCACATCTCTTGCTTTCGGGAAATTTTGGTTTTTTTCGCATTTTGCTTGCTTTCTCTTTGCATTCCATATATATATATATATATATATATATATATATATATATATATATATATATATATATATATATATATCGAAAATAGTCCTTACATTCTCGAGGCGTTACGCATATGGATGAATACAGTACAGTTGAATCGAAAGATTTGTAACCATAAAATCAGCTTCACAGCCTGTTCGCCACTGAACACGATTTGTAGCCATTCCCCTGATCGTTTCCAACTAGGTGTGCTCGCGTTCCCTGAATCCGAAACCCAGAAGTCGTGATCATTCTACTTCGATTAGCCTCGGAGCTCGTTACTCCATACCTCGGATCCAAGTTGTGCGTTGGTCCTCTTTCTACTGTTTCCAGCCAACGTGAACCGCGCACAAGCTGATCCTGACACAGTAATCGCTGATCAAGCGTATGGAACGCATCGCCAATGCACAGAAGCTTGTGCATTGATTGTCTCCAACTTAGCGATTGGAGAGAATTTATCTGGCTTGAGATTTTTTGACAAACGTCATCATTGCTTTTGTGATGTTTCATCGGTAACCATCAGTTCTCCTAAGTCAGCAGTGATGTATGTCAATCTCCCTAAGCGCCACACCCGCTATGGGATAAACCACTCTTCTTACTTGATGTCTAATCGTCACTCGGCTTTATTCTCTTTCTACCCTCTAACCGAGTCATTTGTTTGTTCAAATTTCTTTCTTAACTTCTGGTTACTTCGCAGAGTTAACCATCTTACTCTAACCCTACTTTGATTTCACCGACTCTTGTGAAAGTCTTTGCATGATCTGTCATGCGGGTAACGTGTTTTTGTTGCCACCCGCTTAGACGTATATGGTCACGACGTACCAGCGTCTCGACCCACTTTGTCTTCATGCGTGACCTTTGTTCGTTTACTTAATACTGTGGCACAGGTTTACACTGACGTTTCATCTACGTTCCATTGACACATTCCAGGGTAACGAGGATAAAATTCGCATTGTGCTCAACAAAGCCGACATGGTGGATTCGCAGCAACTGATGCGTGTTTACGGAGCACTAATGTGGAGCTTGGGCAAAATACTCAACACCCCCGAAGTGGCCCGCGTGTACATTGGCACCTTTTGGGATCATCGCCTGATGTTTGACGCCAATCGGAAGTTGTTCGAATTGGAACAGCGCGATTTGTTTCGTGAGCTGAGCTCGTTGCCTGGAAGTGCCGCTCTGCGCAAACTGAATGATTTTATCCGACGGGCTCGTTTGGCAAAGGTCGGTTTTTTTCTATTTTTCCGAATTACTGTACATATTTTTTTAGATTTAACGGTGAAGCGCCAGCTATTACGACCGCTTCATGGTTAGTTGTTACTTGGCGGTACATCAGAGGAATGATGTTTTAGTTCGTTTATTGCATCCTCACGAGATTAGAAATCTCATTGTTTACGAATGCAGCGTTTTTGAATTCGCGATGGCACCTTATTTACTCAGTAAATTGCGCACCCCTGATTGATTGATCAAAATGGATTCCCATCGGTGTTTTCCTTGTTCACTGTCTCTATCTGTTTGTTCTGAAGCGTTTTAACTGGAATTGATGCCCCACTCCTGTTTCTCAGATCTCTTGCACCACGTTTGGAGACTAGGTTCTTGTCCCTTTTGGTACAAAATGCAGTTTTGAAAGGAACTGTAGTAACCAAGCGACAGGTTCAGAATCTGTAGAGATAGAGCAAGGATTGTTTAACAAGTACTGCGGACCCTATACTACCTTCATAGTCGGGGCAAAAAACGGTTGGGTGGAAGAATTATAGTATATTCTTTTACTCATAGTTATAGCAATTTTATTAGTGCGCAAAACTTAAGTCACGGAGGTAAGCCCAGATAGCGTATCATGACAGTGGAATTATCTGTATCTTGAGTGGGGCACATTGTAGTCCGACTTTGAGACATGTAGGGTATACTAAAAGGCTAAGTTCATACTATTTAACGTTTGATGTTGCACCCATCTAGGTTACTTGAAAACACTGCCAGATTCACTCTTTTGTGGGGTTGAATCCCCGACTGGACGTCATCATGCCTGTAGCAGAAGATAACATTGTTACCTATTTTAAAGCTATCTCACAGATTGCTCTATCGCACTTCTCATCTTTGAAATTTCCCCCATGTTTCTATTCGTCTAAACCAACCGTAACCCATTTCGCAACAACAATTGGCTTCACTCATTTCCACACTTGCTAGTCACCGTCTAGGTCGCATTCTCGGGATTTCTATTTTCTGCATAGCTGTACTTGTGTGGGCTTCTGATACAACGATCCGGTATGAAAAACATTTACTCGTATATCCAACGCGCGAAGGTCTAAGTCATTCTACTGCACCCTTTCCTTCCAAACGTTCTCTCTTCACGTTATTGCATTCAGCAACTTTCTCCCATCTCTTGACTATCAACACTTTTCATTTGGCTTTAATATTTCCTTTTTTCTGCCCATTCTGCTTTGTCTCTCCTAAATCCTGTTCTTCTTCCTGGTGGTTATTATACTAGCTTTTCAAATGAGGACAACTGTTCCACAATTCTCTAAGTCACAAAACAAATATTTTGCTCTGATCAAAATCTATCGAGTGCAAACGTCTTGTTATTTGTGGCATCATAACCTGTTGTGATGAGTCCTCGTTGCGGCGTTTTGCGATTGGTTCTGGTGTTCGGACGACAACTCTCTTCGAATCGGACCGTCTATCTTGCAAATGTTACTAAATGGGCTGACGTGTGACGCTACGCGTTTCAATTTGTGCTTTACACTTTGACGCAACAACGCACTACACGACTGAGCCAACCCACCTCCAACTCTCACTATCACTGAGCAACCACTTGGCGCTTTTGGTCGGTTTTGGCACTTGCATCACCTAGTAGAACCCTGCACGCACCGCTTCAGTCGTTTTTGAAGACAGTAGGATATAAGGATACTGGTTGTTGGGAATGTTTTTGTCAGGTACAGTACGGCTCGGTTCAGAGACCTGACAGCTGCTTACAAATAACGTTAAGAGGCCGAGTGCGCATAACCACCTGGGTGCTTGTAAAGTATCACTCTTATCTGGCGGGATCACCTTATGAGCAACACTAAGGTTCCTCTGTCGATGCTTGGCGTTAGGTCCTTTCGTACCGTCTTGGGCTGTCCGTTGAATTCGATTCCGCTAATCCAGCTGGATCATCTTTGTATGTTTATCAAGCAGTTGCTGAGGTAATCCGTTGATGACGCACCAAAGGGGCTTGATGAAACTTTAGGAAAGGCTGATGCATGTCTTTTTCGAATTAAACTCGTCATTGAACACATCGTTGGCTGAGGGCAGTTTTCTTCGATAGCACAGCCACAAACTCACCACACGCTGACATTCTGCGTATTACCTTTGCCTGCTACATTTCCATCAACTGCTCCTGCCTTTTCCCTCATTACGCTACGTTTTTACATTTTTGTTCATCCCATCTTTATTTTCTGTTGTTGTTGTTGTTGATGATGATGATGATGTTGCTGTTGTCGCTATTATGGGGTGTTACTCTTGGTAGTCAGGTCCATGCAGCTCATATCGTAATTTTGTCTCGGACTAGGATTGGACAAGTCTGCCTGCTGATGCGCGTTACTCCCTCGTCGAACGGTGCTATAAACGGCATATATCCGACCGGCGCACGCACTCCTATCTCTGTGGAAAACTTATTTGGAACTGTGACGTCCTCTTGATGAGCTGCTCGTTTCAAATGAACTACAGGATGGTTGTTGATGTGATGTGTCATTCGACGAACCACCCGATCCACTTAGAATTCAGTTCCTCCGATCCTCTGTTATTTGTGCACCTCAGTGCAGTGAATGCAGACGCCTTACTTTCCATCACTACATAATACGAGTAGTAATATTACCGCTAATGCTGAAATTAATGATAGTTATCTAATAGCGAAAAAGTAATCAAAAATTGCCCAAGAATTGGAGGCATATTTCTGATCAACATTGTAGGGCTCCTAGCGATGTCTCGTTTTGCGCTTCACTCGTGACCGATAGGTTTGGATCCATCGCTTTTTTCATAAGTAATTTGGACCTAGCAGATCACGCAGTTCTCACCGGTGATTGGATCGTCAGCGACACTAATTATTTACCTGCGGTTTTCTTGGTTAGTCAATGATTTTAAGAACTGTTGGTGCGTGAACTATCGCGGTGCACAAAACGTGTCGTTAATTGCTGTTACCCTTCAGCTATTTTGAGGGACTGTGGTCCTCGACTCCTCCCCATACTCCTATGAATATGGTGCTGAGGCTGTCTATCAGATCTCCAGCTGTTGACGCATCTTTCACGGGTGGATCCAACCTCTCTGTTAAAATGCCACCCAGCGCGAAATCCGGTACCGTGCACACTCCAGCGTCCTGTCCCGTCACCACGAACACCTGTTTACCCCCATAATCGGTGCATTGCTCACGCACCTGCTGTTCTCATCGCAGTTGCTCTAGTTCACCTGCCTTCCTCTTAAAATAGAACGATGGTTCTGCACAAGCACGTGTTGGAAAGAAAAGAAATTGGGTGGGTCGTGCGTAAACGTAAGTAATATTACACCCATCAGTCGTACCCGTTATTCCTCTGCACTCGAGGGACAGGCTCATTTAGCTTAGCTGGCAGACCGGAGTTTTGATGTATATTTTTACTACTTCAGCTGTTCAACAGTGAACTGCTTTCCGTGGTCCCTGGTAACCGATGATATTTCCGCTCGGTTAATTTTGCGATTTTTCTCCTAACTTCGTTTTCTTTCAGATACACTTGCGTTTTATTCCAATTTCTTCACTTGTGTCAATTCTTATGTTTATTGTTGAGTTGGTCACGACAACTTGATCTGCCACTCTCCGGTGCTCGAATGATAGTTGTTTCATTAAGCTGACCATCATCCGGCTTTTAAGATCTTCATTGTTCTGACGGCACTCACTTATCACCGATTTTCCATCCGTATCTAATATCCGATTTCTATGTATACTATGAAACATTCAAGTCATCAGAACACCTCTGTAGCTAACTTCACATGGATAATTTGTAAATCACTCTCCAATAGATGTTAACCGTAACTCGTGTCTGTGACTGATGCTTCTTTGTATGTTGTTGGCGGCGTTCTGTTCCGGAGTTACCTCTTACTGACTGCGAACAGCCACAGGACGTCTGCGAGGGACCATAAATGGCTTGTGCTGAACCACCCACAGCTCCATCCTTACATCAGATATCCAGTATAAGCCCGAATGAATAAAATCGAGGCAGTAGATGGGGAAACATGTGTACCAGACATACAAAGGGCGATTGCTGAACCGTAGCTCGTTCCACGTTCGTTATAACCATTCTTTGATCCTAGCACATCACAAAGACTGCACACTCCGTATCTCCCAGTAACGATTTACCACCTGCTGGGGCCAATAGTCGAGGTGGCGGTTTTTGATTAGTAAGTATCTTGTTGGTATTCACATCAAGCTCAACCAAACCTGAGATACCAATCCTCAAACGTTGTCAGACAATCGACGACAGTAGCACACTGGCACAAGTACGGCCCAACTGCATCGACACTACAACACGCGTAGCACATCTGCCGTATTATCAGCCTCTCTCAGTATACAACACTAGAAATAACCGCTTGTTGGGTTGGAAAATAGCTATTCAACTTGCCCGTTGACTCCTCGATAGAGACTGCTCTTGGCCAGGTTGGCTGGTCTGGAGCAAACACGGTCATATTTGCCACATCCTCAGGTACCACACGAAATCTACTGGACGGGCTCCATTGGCACCTGTTGTTAGTGCACGATCCAACAGTCCTTTGGACGATGTGTAAACGCTTTGACCCTGAGTGTTTGTTTACAACATTAAAGTATTACGCTTGGTCACCTCTTTTCCTTCTTATCATTCTTCGTTCCGCAAGTCACCGTGGTTGTACTGCAGCGAAACATTAGTCCAAATGGTTGGTGTATTGCTGTTGATGATTATGGTGATAAATAGTCCTTTCTGGTGCAACTGAACAACGGTATCCTTTGTATGATCACTCTATTGGCGGCGATCCACTGCTGCTTCTTATTGCCATTACTTCCTTAGGTACCGTAGTGATTATCACGTGACATTAATTGCGCATTATCCTCGTTTCTGGTTCCACGGTTACCACTGCGCAACATTCCATTGCCCTCTCCGAGTGTTGTAGCAGACCGGCATGAGCACACTAGGCTACGTTTTACTTTCTCACTAGTGGGCAGCTTGTCCTTCAACCGTGGCCGATGTAAT